GAATGGCAAAGGACACACTGACAAAGGAGATTAATCAGAACTGGCTTTGACAAGCACTGTGGCAATTGGACAATTAAAACAGACATTCGGATGGCGGGGGAAGAACAAACTGGGGAGGAGGGTGGAGAAAATAGTGCAACAATGAATGAACGAAAACCCAAAATGTCTGTAAATGTTCATTAAAACTAATAAAATTTAATAATAAAAAAAATTTAAAAATTCTAAAAAAAAAGTAAAAATATGAAAACAAGGAAGTGATGATGATGCAAAATTAGTAGTTACTTGAAGGATAATGAAGCTGAGTAAGTAAGAGTGGGAGGGTGGCAAAACATGTTATACTACTGTCTACTTTTGTAAAAAAATTCTCTGTGATAAAAAGAGCAATGCATTTTCTTGGTACCCAGTGATTCCTTATGTTATTCTTGCCAATCTGCGTCTATAGCCTGATCAAGTCTTCTACATTGCTCAATTGAAAACCAAACAAGACAATCTAATGTTGCTGCTATGATAAAGGTCTCTTCAAGTTATTTTCATTCCCTTGGGTAAGAAGTTAGAATGTTCCTTTTTTAGAGAAAAACAACAATTACAATATAGATTACAGTAATGAGCACTACAAAATTTTATAAAAATTATTTTGCAAAGAAGAAAAATATTGTTATTTAGCACAAAAAAAAATTCATTGCCATCTAGTAAGAACTGACTCACAGCTGGCCCTCTAGCAGGTTTTTGGAGGCTTTAAGTGGCACTGGAGGAACTGTCCACCTTTTTTGCCCACGGAGCCATAGTATACGTGAAAGTTGCTAACTTTGGGTTTGCAATGCAGCTTATTATCAACTAAGGCAACCAGAGCTCCCTACAAGGTGGGGAAAGATCACTCACTAGAATTATCCCAACTCCAGCTGTTCTTACCACTAAGGCTGGTCTACTTTCCCATAGACACCAATACTGCCTAATGAGTATGGACTGGAGGCCAAGAAATAAGGTCTTATTGGGTCCTAACACTAGCTTTTTCTCTAACCTATTAAAACAGTATGAACTTAGTCCATAATCTAAAATTCAGGATCCTAATGTATAAAATTAATTCACTTTAAAAACCAATACTTCTTAACCTAGGACCCATGAAAGTTTTGTCTGCATTTCTTTCTACAGGCAATTCTCTGAGATGCAGGACTCATTTATCCTCCCAGGGTTAAGAACCATTTTTAATCATGGTAATCTTCATTTCTTGATTCAATAAACAATAAAACCTGTTATCTGTAAGTATGATGTTCTCCATCCAAGCTTTTTTTAAAATTCAGATGCTGCTGCTGTTTGTTGTTGGGTGTCATCATAAATGACCCTGTGAACACAGATCTGAGCCTTGCACCATCCTGCACAAAGATCCTGCACCAGCTTCACAATCTGATACGCTCTATGCTCACAATTTAGAAAAGAATGTGTTTTCCAAAACAAACTTTCTTTTAAAAAGTGCACATTATGGGGTGGGGAGAAACATGTACAAAGCTTGGGGTCCTAAAGATTTGTTTTTCTATTCCCCAGAAATAACTGGCTGGGTGTATATTTTGGCTTCGAGGATTTTTTTGGATGTGCTTAGACCCACCCAGAGAAACATTCTGGCTACGAATAATGGGGCTGTATCTATGTAACTCTTTTTTTTTTCTATAATTATATTTTATTAATTTTCATAAACATTTACAGAGATTTT